ACTCACTCACACACACATAAGCCAGTTTAAAATACTAACATGATATATTCAAATTTACATCATAGTAATGAGAATTAGGGAAGATGGGATTGTCATGAATATTATGTATTTATATATATGTAAATATGTATGTGTACACACACACATACACACACGCACACACACACACACAGAAATGGTGTTCCAAACCGACTTGATTTTCTTTAAGCAACATACATTTATACATTTTATTATTTGCATATAGAACACAAACGTAAATTTAGAATTCTACACGCACATTTCTAGAATTTAAGGAATGTAAAGAATGTGCAAGTAGAACTCTAAATTCTGTTTCTATTCTCACATCTACATGTCAAGCACACGGCCTGCTCATATTACAAAACCAAAAATACGAGGTATTATTTCCCCGCTGTCGGTTTGAGTCGCAGATGTCGGTGTTTGTGATGAACTGGATAGAGTTACAGTATTGAGGAGAGAAACTCTGCTGTGACGTCAGCGCGCGAGAGAACAACAAGCCCAGAAATGTCTGATTCTGACTTTTGGCGGACAGCGTTCAAAACACCTCAGAAAATAACGGTCGGAAGAGGCGCGTTACCTGCAGTTCGGCCCGTTCCACCTCCCATTGCGCCCGTTCCACCTCGAACCGGGCCCACTCGTGTTGCAGAAAGTGTAAAATCCCCGGAATACTGTAGATAGAATACAAAAAGAATAGAGAAGCTAGTGTTACATTTTTTTTTTTAAAGAAAACAAGCCGTTAGTAAATGAATAGAGTGCAAGTCTAAAAGGGGCATTTTTTTTCTTTTTTAAGAATAGAATTAGAATAGAGAGTGCTAGAGTTAGATGGTTATTGTATAATATATATACAAACATATGATGTCATAATAAAATACTAATGATGTTACAAACAGACTGTTTACTTTATGTAAAATTTAATTTATATATATATATATATATATCGAGTTGTTGTTGTTGTTGAAGAACACACCGGGGCCCGCCTGCTCGTCCATGGCTAGGCCGGGAATCGGAGGTCTGATCGACCAAACGGACGCTGTATTTCGTCCGAGAACGGAGAACGGAGAACGGGAAACGGGGCGAGCGCTCGACTCACCGCGCGCTGCTGCTGCTGCTGTCACTTCATGACGTTTCCGCTAGCGCTGGTCGAGTCGCGAGTGAATCGTTCTTGTGAGCCGATTCTCTGAACTGAACCAGTCGAACCGATCAGCGTGGAATGTGGAATGAAATAAACAGCTGACAAATAGCCTTACATGGATTCGGACTATGGAGGGCAAAATTACTAAAAATTAAATCATGAAATAAATGTTGAAATATATAAATAAATCGTTAAATACATGATTAAATACATACATAAATGCATAAATAAATAAACAAACAAACAAATATTTATTTATTATTCATTCATTCATTTATTTCCTTATGTGGAGGAAATAAATAATTAAATGAATGAATAAATAAATAATAAATGAATGAATGAATATTCCGGTTTATATATATATATTTATGTATTTAAGTATTTAATTATTTAATAATTTTTGTATTTAATTTAATTTTTATTTAACGATTTATTTATATATTTCAACATTTATTTAATGATTTAATTTTGAGTAATTTGGCCCTCCATTTCAGACGTTTCAATTTTTTAGCTCGAATCTTAATAGATGTATAAGATGTAAAAAAGCATATATTTTAGTGACATATGTCATACATCACTAAAATATAATTTTTAGTGATCTAGGCTATTTCACTTTTGTATTTATATCACAATTTATTTTAATTGTATTGAAAATAATTTATGTGCATGTTAGCATATTCTGAGATGTTTTTCACCATTTTGAATCACTTTGTAGTTACAGTGTTAATTTCAGTATTTTTGAGATATTATTATTTTTTGTACTTATATTTATATTTTATTATGTGTGTTTTATTTTATTTTTATATAATTATTAATTTTTAGAATTGGTTTTTATTTTTATATTTTCCTTTTCATTTTAATTTCAGTTAAAGTTTTAATAATTTTGTTGTTTGTGTAGCTTTTTAAAAATGTCTTTATAGTTTTTTTATACATTTTATTTAAATGTTGTTATTTTAGTACATCAAGTTAAACTAAATTAAAATGAAAAATGTTGCTTTGGCAACTAACTGAAATAAAATAAGTATAGGCCTATGTTTATATATTTTTTATTTCAGTTAACGTTTATTTAATTTGAAGTAACAAAAAAATATATATCAAAAACATAACTTTGTCAGAAGTCAGAAAGAGCTTTATAGCCAAGTATGTTTGCACATACAAGAAATTTGTTTTACTGTCACAGTACATAGAGAAAACAACAACAACAACACACAGATAATAAAAAATAAGATGTATTTAGATATAAATAAACAAAAAAATAGAAAAAAATGAAAAATATATATAGTAAGTTGAAAAATATATATATAATAAACTTTGGATAAAATAACTTCCACTAAATACCTTAAATATATTAAACGTAAAATATTAAAACATTTATCAAGGTCTCAATGAAGCCTTTAAAGAATCGACTCGTTCGAACGAACCTATTCGGTCAAATGAATCGCGCTTCTCAAGGCTGGTTTCCGCTCATTTTTACGCCCACAAGCAGTTCAACAGATCGCTGCCAGCACGAAACGCTCTGATTGGACAGAACGAACAACTCGTAATGTGAACGGCCAATCAGAGGCGAGTGCGCTGAGCATCCTGGGACTTGTAGTTCGGATGCGTTTTATCCTTTTTTTCGTCCAAACGTTCTCATTCCGAGTTATTGTTTATTCTTTGACTAGCTGTTAGCAATCCTGCAAAAACACCACATCAGCTGTCTAAGTAAAACACTACTTCAAGACTAACGAAATTACCGGTTTTGATAAATGAATACATGTAAATCAATAATTTTGACAATAAACAATTTTATTACCACAAAAATAAGTAATATGTAAATGGAAACAGTACAGTAATTAATAAAAGAACGCAGGTTATGCATGCATCAACATAATAAATAGTCAAGCAAATGCTTGTGTCATAATTTCACAATGGATTCATTTAAGTGGTCATGTCATGCACGAACTGTTATACAACACAACAATACAAACCTCTGTTTTAAACACCCATGTGTCTATTTCTAAGAAGGTGAAACCCGTGAACAACACAAAGATCCATTCAGAGCCTCATTTACCTGCGACATTGTAGGAATGTGTATCTGCATACTTATTATCTAGGCTACATGGCGGTTAGTATGTGTAGACAAAAACACATTAAATATTAAAATAAAAAACGTTACGCATGCGAACATCAACACGTTGTATTATTTTTTATTTTGAACTGTTGATCTCATTATTATTAAATCGTGACGTGGGCAGCGTACGCAGCGTGACGTCACGGCCGGCGCAGTATATAATTAGTGCAAGCTTCACGAGTAATTAGCGCGCGCGGGTCAGAGGTGCGACACAACATGCCTCCACTGGAGAAAACCCAGCATCCCAAACCTTTCAAACAGAGGAAGAGTTTAGGTATGTGTCTTTATATCACACACGAGGCTCTCTGCTGACATGCTGTGAAATGCAAAAGTCGTCTTTGCTTTTTAATTTATTTCTTTATTTATTTTGTGATATTGATTATGTATCAGCAACGAGGAAACAAGAGGTGGCGGGAATCCGAACTAAGTTTCCGACTAAAATCCCGGTAAGAAACGCCCGGTTCTGAGTTTAGTTCATCTCTTACCGGCTGTCAGCGTTAATTAGTGCGTGTTTTAGGTGATTATCGAGCGATATCAGAGAGAGAAGTACCTGCCGCCGCTGGATAAGACCAAGTTCCTCGTGCCTCAGGAGCTCACTATGAGTCAGTTCGTGACCATCATCAGGTCTGTCTTCAAATCTGTGTGAAGTGTCTTCAGATAAATTGTAATCTGACTGTCAAAAGTAACTTTATTGCTCTCCAAACAAGCTTTTATTTTCTTAAAGTGGTGTAAAAAAATTTGAAACGTTAAAAAAAAAAAAAAAAATTTAATTATTATTATTATTATTAATTTGACTTTTTATGAATGTTAAACTTCACTAATATATGTGCAGTATTTTTAATGTGTGTATGTATATGTATATACACACACACCATACTAGTTTCATTCATAAATTAAATGTAAACTGGTTTAAATTTTATTTATATATATATATATATTATAATTTTTTTTTTTTTTTTCAATTTATTTTAAGTTTCATTCATAAAATGATTAAATGCAAGTGGAATTGTTTATGGATGTGAATTTTAATATAGCATTTGTAGGTTGTATTCGTCATGTTTTCGTTTTTACATTCATAATGATTAAATTTTATATATTTAGTGATTTATAATAAAATAAACTCTTTTAGTTGTATTAAGGGTCTATGATTGTGACACTTTAATATGAATAAATCTATACATGTAGTGTAGCTTTTCACATTCATAAAAATAAATGAATAGTTAAATTATAACAAGTGTATAAGTTTTATTGTGTTAAAATTCTGTGCATGTTAAAATTTAATAAATAAAATTTCATGTGTAGATTTTAATGTAATTTCATATTCATGGAATGTCATAAATTATTAGTGCATATAATTTATGAATGAAACTTTTTAAATATTTTCGTTCATAAAATAATACAATTAAATGATAACAAAATACAATTTTATTGTATTAATATTCAATGAATGTGGAACATGTTTGAATCATTTGCAATTTAAAAAAAATTTTTTTTAATATAATTTCACATTCATAGAATGTCATATTAGTGCATATAATTTATGAATGCGACTCTTTATAGATCTGTGCTATATATGCATGCAGAATTAGTAGATGGAGCACATAATACTGGTTCTGTGTACTTCATGCATTTCTCGTATTGCACTAGTATTGGTAGTAAGCTCCAGTGAACAGCCCTGAGAATCTGCCGAGGTGCTCGAGGCGTCAGCTGATCATCACCTGGCTGGATTTAAGCGCTTTCTCACGCTGTGGCTTTTCCTCATGTCTGCTCTGGTTTCTCAGGAATCGAATGACCCTGATGCCCACTCAAGCTTTCTACCTGCTGATCAATAACTCCGGCATCGCCAGCATGTCTCTGACCATGGCTCAGCTCTATAAAGACCATAGAGATGAAGACGGCTTCCTCTACATGACGTACGCCTCACAGGAGATGTTCGGACACTGTAATAATAACCGGTGACGTCGTCGGCGGGTCCAAGAGGTCTTATTTATTTCACTGAACTGTGATTAAATATTTAAGTCTTTGTATATAATGTTAGCTTTTTAGATATACTATTATTTTCTAATGTATGTTTTAATGGAGTAATAAAATGTCTTTAATTGGTGCATCGGTCACTAGAGAGAGACGTCTGTTCATTCATGTGCTGCAGAAGCGTCCTCAAATATGCCCGACTAATAAAACTGAATGTCAATCATTTATTGGTTAATCATGTGGTGATAGAAAATAAAGGATATTGTTTGTTTGATGCTGCACACCGTTGCATTCGGGTTTCTTATTTGATTTTCCAAGGTTTTGTCTTTAATTCGCTGTTGAAGCAAAGAAGTGTTTCATTGCCTTTAAAGAAAAATGAACTTTTAAATGTGTCTTCTATAATACTGTCAGTGTGTGTTTTATTTTATTTTTTGCATCAATTGTAGGTGGTGCAAAAGTGTTTATCAAAGTGTAAAACTGAATGCTTAAAGATTGGAAGCCTATTTATGTGATTAACCCACTATATTAATGACACTTTATGACCCATTTCTCAATACTTGCTTCAGTGTCAAAAATAATCCATGCACAACAGCATCTGTGTGGGCTAAACTGGATCATTTATCATTGCTTTGGCACAAAATGCATTGACTAGCTACAGCTATCAAATTACATCAGATCTTTTCTCTGTCAGACACAAAAACCTCCACAAACTATATCCCTGTTTGCTTGTTTCCAAACAACTGAACTTCAGTTCAGAACCAAACTAAAGATTTGCTACATTTAGTCATTTAGCAGATGCTTTTATCCAAAGTGACTTACAAATGAGGACAATAAAAGCAGTCAAAACCAACAAAAGACCAATCATATGCAAGTGCTATAAGTCTCAGCTTAACACGGTACACACAGCAAGTTTTTTTTAATTATATAAAAAAACTGAATAGAAAAAGAATAGAGCAAGCTGGTGTTAGAGGCCTTTTTTTTTTTGCTTTTGTTAATTGTATAATGAAAAGAAAACGAATAGAGCACAAAATGATTAGAGAGTGCTAGAGTTAGAAGGTCAAATAAAGATGGAAGAGATGTGTTTTCAGCCGATTCTTGAAGATGGCTAATTACTAATAATTTCTACAGTAATCAAATATATCCCAAATCTAAAACATTAAATACTATAAAAACAATGTATCTGAACACCTACACAGGCGTTGATCTTTTAATTTCATTACCAGCTTGGGAATTTGTTACTGTAATGTAAACATGGATTATGTACAGGGTTAATACTGCTGCTGTAAACATCGAAAATGCTTGAATTTTGGATAAAGTGCTTGAAACTGTGAGTTGTAATCGGCTGTAATGACAATACTTTATATTCTATTAAATTGTATAATTAGTAATATATCAAAGTAGATTTTAAAATATCAAAAGTCTGCAGAAGTATGCATATCAGTATATACAGTTTTGAGGAAGTAATGCATTACAATATTGTCACTATAAAAGAGTGCATTACTATTGCATTACTTAGTGACTTTTTATGGAAAGTAATGCATTGTCACCTTTGTCACATGAGCTGGGGCTTATTTGTTTTTAACAACAAAAAAGTTATACTGCCAAAAGTTATATTTTTTGGCATCTATAAAGGCCCTTTCACACCAAAAGTTTCTCTCAACCAAAGACTCAACACGGGGACAGGAGAGCTGTAAATGGGAGAACTTGCGCTACTTATTTAAAAAAAATAACTCCTACTAGTTACTTGAAAAATTAATCTGATTACATAACTCGTGTTACTTGCAATGTGTTATGCCCAACAATGAGTGAGTGTGTGTGTTTGTATATATATATATGTGACCCTGGACCACAAAACCAGTCATAAGGGTCAATTTTTGGGTCAAATCTCAAGAAATTGAGATTTATGCATCATCTTAAAGCTGAATTAAAAAAAAAAAATCTTTCCATAGCTGTATGGTTTGTTAGGATATGACAATATTTGACTGATATATAAATATATACATGTAAATATTTTCTAAATATATATTGTATGTGTGTGTATTTGTATACACATAATAAATATACAAAGTGCACACACATATATTATGGAAAAAAAAACGTTTATTTTGGATGCGATTAATCACGATTAATTGTTTGACAGCACTCATATATATATATATATACAAGTGCTGGAAAAGCTTAAAAATGCACCTCAGAAGTGCTTGAATTTGACTTTGGAAAAAGTGTAAGAACCCTGCATGAAGCATATAGAGAGTTGTCATTGAATGACTTGATATGAAGTGTTTTGGTAGTTTTAGTGCATTTTGGATGTGAAATGTACTGCTTTACCAAGCTGAAATTTGGTGAGGATCACTGTGTGACAAGTATTGAGATCGTAAAAACCATAATAAAACTGACTTCTGTAGTATTTCACCAGTTGTTATCTTAAAGCATCAGCCTGCAGGTGGCGCTCTTGTGCTGTGATCGGCTCCTGTGTTCAGAGATGAGATGAGCTTCATAACTGACTCTCACCTGTGGGCATATTTAAAGATTTAGGAGTGAATTCACTTCGTACGAGCAGAAAGGGTCAATTTAATTTGGTAATGAGGATTATTTAGCTGTTCATTTCATGGTGGATTATTGCGGATGCCTGGAGGATGTAGATTAGTACGATGCTCTGATAGCAGAAGCACATCTCTGGGGCTGTTCTTCACACAGTGATTACATCTGAGTGATGCCTTTCCATCTGAAGAGTGTTTGCTACTCTACAGCTAATGCTTTTCTGTACAACAACTGTGCCGCTTGCTTGTTAAAAGCACCATTTTGATATTTTGTTGCAAATGTTTATGTTCGTTGACTGAGGGAATTCTGGGAATGTCAATTTACGGTTATTCACTGTAAATTATACGGTATTTTTCACTTCCAAAAACGGTATACTACCGTAAAATTAATGTCCAGTACATGTAATGTCCAATACAGTTTTTCACCGTATATAGTAGGGGAATTTACCGTTAACCATTTAACAGGTTTTTACTGTAGCATTTTTACAGTCTTTTACCGTTAAATTCACGGTCATTTTTTACAGTGTAGTAAATGTGAAGGTCTTGAAGAGACTCTCTCGCTCTGTTGTTTGTCAGGTTAATGCCGCATGCTAATTAACAGCAGCTCTGAGATTCAGACTCTAAAGTTAATGAAGCCCGTCGTTCTTCTGCAGACCTCACTAAGATCCACTGAACCTCTGGACCTGAAACACAAGAATGAACTTCACTATTTACTGTGAGACTCCTGGAATTTCAGGAGATAAAATCAATATAAAATCAGCTCTTTAGAACATTTTCTGAGTGTCATTTCTAATCAAGAGTGATTTTGGCATTGGTGGGGACATAACGGCCAACAACCGACATTTAATTGTTTGATCAAAATCATTGTTAGGGATAATTTAGTAGTGGCTGATGTAGGTAGGATCATGTCACAGCATCTCTACTAAATTCTACAGCTTTGAAAACCATAACAAGCGATGTCCGACAAGAGAATATTGGAAATATTTACATTTACATATACATCTATTCATTTAGCAGACGCTTTTATCCAAATATAACGTAATTTGTGTTTCTTGCTAGCTAAATGTCACAAAATAAACAAAAATCTGGCTCTAAACCTCTCTTTTCTTTATTCAAAGTTGATCTAGACAAGTAGGCCCACATGATCGAAGTCACAAGTTTGAATCAATTGAATCGGTTCCAGCGTAAATGACTCACTCAGTTGAATCGTTTTGTCTGTTCCTCTTTTCGTGTCTTCAGCCATATTTCCATTCCAAAGATAACATGCAACACAAATCTAGGAACATACTGTAAGTTTATGGTTATGATGAAGTGCTAGAATAACTAAAACTAAAGCTGGAATAAAATTAAGGTAAATAGAAATATAAAAAAAAATGCACAGCAAAATTACTCAAATTAAAATTAAAATTGAAAATAAAAAATGGCAATTCAAATATTGTTAAAAATTGTTCGATCATGTGGGCCTACTTGTCTAGATTAACTATTATATATATATATATATATATATATATACACATACTAAAATATCACTAGTTGTAACTGCAGTAAAATACAGTAAGATTTTTGGCTGGAGATATAAATCTATAACAACTGTAGATTTATTTTGACTTCAATTTTGTTTGCAGTCCTTTCTAGATGCCGATATTCAAAATCCAAACTGTAATTTCAATTTCAAGATCATTTTAGTATGCTTTACAAGAAAATGCAATTTCAGTCTTTTTTACTTGAAAATTGCATCTTTAATTCAATGTGTTACTTGCCATTTCCTTGAAATGATTTGTGAAATTTCCTACACAAATTTCTTTTTTCCCCCAGCATAAATCAGACTAGTTCTGAAAGTGTCTTTTTTTTTTCTCATGGACATTTTATCATAAACAACACAAACAGCATCTCAGTGACCTCTGACCTCGACTGTCACACAATGGCTCGTGTTCAAATCAAAGGACAGCAGGACACATTAATAATTCACTCATACTCTTCGGGAAACATAGTGACATCAGCGCTCCCAGCATGCCTCAGCGAGCGGGTCAGGTGACCACAGATATATTCTTATAACATGAATCTCATTCGCAGCAGATGAATGAATATTTCATAACCGTCCCTGGAGGTCTGTAGAAAGAACACATGATTCTTTAATGGGATGGGGGCTTTAATGAGTCGTGTGTGGATGATGTAAACGCTCCATCAGCTTCTGCTTTAAGTGCTTCCTGACATCTATAATGTGTTATGAGGTGTTTCGCTTCACAATTAGCAAACAACATCATTAAGAACAAGAAAGTCATCATCATCATCATCAAGTGCGTGGCCCTTTTGAAGCCTCTCTCTCGGGTTTGTTTTACCCTTCAGAATGAGTGGATTTGACTGTTTTATGGCAAATAGAGATAAAAACGGTTCACTTTAGATCTTTCACTACAGAAGTTACACTAAAACAGCTGAAACATTATGTGCATTACTGCAGATTATGTATTATACAGTATAATGATTGTGTGTGTCACACACACACACACACACACACTAACACACACTCACACTCACACTAACACACACACACACACACACACTAACACACACTCACACTCTCACACACACACACACACACACACACACACACA